ATGAGCAAATGAACAAAATCGCGCCGCTCGTCGCAATGCGATAAAATCGCGCGTAAGAGGAAGAAGTTCTCAACTGTTTTAAGCCATTGACGACCGTGTGGCCTGCGGCTGGGTCACACTTTTTTAATCGCATGTCGCTAGATTTATTAAGTTATAGACTGTTAAGTATTTAGCAGGTGACTCCCTTCAAGAAACTTATTACGAGTAGTAACGAAAAATCAACAAGGAAGCGCGTTGATTTGGCAAACCCGGTTATTGATTGTGTTTGATTTCTTAAAAAATGGTGGTTACGGAAAAAATACTTTATACGCCTGATGGTACTTCGTTAGTTCATGAAAAAGCACCGTTCTGAAGGGGAATATGTATCATTACGCCAAACTTAGTTTATGTAGATAGTGTTCAAGATTGCGTTACGACGTTAAATTTCAATCACCTATTCTACTTTGCTGTGATTAATTCTTTTTTTTCAAGAAGTTCTTATAAAAAAAATTTCGTACGGGATTTTAATCTTCAGTACGCTTTGAAGCTGTCAAGTAGAAAGTTCAATTTTTTTTAAATCAAAAAAGTATTGCTCAGAACTGTCTATGTCATCGTGGTTCTCTGTCCTAGTTATGTTTTATATAGTGTTTTTTGCAAATTGGAAAGGCGAAAAGAAATTGGTGTAGTTGGTAAGATTTTTATGAGTAGGCAAATTACGTTAGAGTGTGTCCAAATACGACTTGCTGCTGCAAGTCGAGGGTACAAAAATGCTTAGGTTTTCTCTATCACATCCGCAATCAAAACTTTCACAAACCTTAGTTCCAAATTTTCAACAGCCTAGGGCGAAAAGTGCAGAAAGCCCTTACATTTGTGCATAAGTTCGAATGGTCTTTTTCATTTGGAAATAAAAAAAAAATGTTTTGGCGACACAATCTATGTTATTTGAACCCTTGGCTTCAGATCAATTTAGAAACTATAGAAAATGTTTTTAGAATAAAGAAAAAAGCTCACCCAACAGTTTAATTTCTTTGGAGTACGTGGAACGTAACTTAGTCAGTAAGTTGATGGCAAAAATTATATATTAGCTGTGGCAGGACCTTACCATAGATTACAATGAACGTACGCTGAAGGATCGAAATCATTTATTTGCCTGAAAACAGGACTCAGAGGTTAATTGACATACTGGTCGCGAAAATCATATCTTTTCATAACGAGGTCATATCCTTTTGCACAGTGGACACATAGTTTTTAAATTTTTCCCCTCCAACAGATCGACGATTTTTACGCTTCCATTGTATACCCAACCTAATATCGCAGGGAGTGGTTGTTGTGCATGTGGGTAAGGTTTTTGTAATCACTATGCCAAACTACATATTAGATCATTTTGAAAAAAATCACTAATTTTCACCTTTTAGTTACATTTACCTGAATTCTACAGGCCCTAAATTTGGAAAATTATAATCCATAACGACCATCGATAATTCAAAGTTGTAACTAGTGACTTTCATGCTCCTTCCTTTCTAAGAAATCAAACTACCGGTTAAACTTCCAAATTTAATCGTTCTAACGTAAGACTATCTTGTAAAGGAAAACTTATTCCAGCAAATATTGGGTTGCCAGCAACTTCTAATTCTTTAGAAGTTTTTTTTCCGAGTTCAAGGAATACGGCATGAACTTATCTGAAACTTAAAAAATTCTGCTAAAGGGTGCAATGTTTCGCCCACAGATTTAGAAGCAG